TAACGTTGATGTGTTGCCGCTGCATGTTGGGGTAATTGCAAATGGCTATGGTCTGGTGATTGACCATTGCGTGTTTTTCAACTGCAAAATTCCGGCGGTATTCTGGCAAAGCGAAAATGGGAGAGGGAGGCGTAACGCTATGCGTTATTGTCTGGTTTATGGGGGATATTTTAGTGGGGTCTGGACAACTAAGAGTACCGATGGAGACTTTTTCGAATTTCACCATAACATCATAGCCAATAGCAGCACGGTCTGGATAAGAGAAAAAGGAAGTACAAATCGATACAAAGCTTCTGATTGTGTTTTTACCGATTATACCAATCTGGCAGGATTTGGAAGCGGTCCCTTGAGTGGCAACAATGCGACTTCAACAGATTTTCTGGAAATGAAAAACGTAAGAACCACAGGAACCGTTCAAATTGAAAAAGATCAAAGCAAAAGAAATTACCTTCAGTTAGCGGAAGGTTCAATTGGTGCAGAGTTAAAAGCAGGGCTTTTTAAAAGGAAGAGGTAATTAAATGTATTTGCGGGAACCTTACCATTAATGCCACCGTTCGCGTATTAAATTTACTTTGTAGTTGATGGAATCTTTTTAATGCGTTTGATTCATTTTTGGGAAGTTGATTTGCTGAAATATGTTGGTTTATTATTTTTTATATTAAACTATGACTAATTTTTTAGCTGTAATATGTCTTTTGTAAGGTTTGTTTTGCGAAAATACTGCTGTAATTGTCGTTAATCTAATGATTGTCATTATTTGGTCATGTTATATTAATTAATAGTATATTAATTTGAATTTAGTAAATTCAATTAATCAATTTATTTAACAACCAAAATTAATTTATTATGAAGAAGAAGATTTCATTAGAAAAATTCGAAGGAAAAACATTAGAGAAAGAACAGCTTTTTCATGTTTTAGGTGGTGCTGCGTTTTTCAACACCAAGTCAAATGGTCATACGACTAAGTCTGCGGGTGATGATGCGGATACAGAAACCAGCGACACGGATGAAAGACCAAATGAAGAAGCATAATTCATTGAGTTGATTATTTTGAATCCATTATTAACGATTGTTAATAATGGATTGTTTTAATTTATAAGAGAGATTGATTCATGATTGTTATAAATAGTATTTCAAAAGACCATACAACAACCGAAGTGATTAGGTGGCTAATTGCCCTTGGTGTTACGGATTTCGTCCGGATTGATTCAGATGTTGAGGATATTGAGTTTGTAGGGTATAATGGTATTGATTCGTTTATCATATCTAAAAATGGAATACCTATAAATCTTTTTGAATCAAAGTCATATTGGTATAGAAGAGGTGGTGCAATTTCATTTTTTAAGTCGAAATTAAAAGACATGAAATTAAGTCAGGATCTAAATCTGGAGAAAAAATTAATTGGAAATATCTCTTCCGAAAATCAGGCACTTAATGATTATATCAAACAGTTTGTAGCGCATAGATCTCCTGTTAGTTTGGGTTCATATAGCAATTCAAGTTTGAATAAGCTGCATGTCCTGGATTTAGCCAGGCAGTTCGGCATAAAAACGCCCGGCACATTTGTAATTAATACAAAAAAAGAACTTTCCCGGAAGCTCATGGAAAATGGGCCTTTAATTACGAAGGCGATTTCAGAAGGGGTAAGTATATATAATGTCAATCATAGCTATTATTCCTATACCGAAGAAATCAATGAGTCTGATTTAGTTAACATTTCAGATGTGTTTTTTCCTTCCCTGTTTCAGAAAAAAGTAGATAAAAAATTTGAGATAAGGGTTTTTTTTCTGGGGGATAGATTTTATTCAATGGTGATTTTATCGCAGAGAAATAAACAGACTGAGGTTGACTTTAGAAAGTATGACGAGCGTAAACCAAATAGGTTTTTACCTTTCAGGTTGCCTGCTGAAATTGAATTAAAATTGGCCGCACTTTTTAAAGCCCTTGATTTGAATACCGGGTCGGCTGACTTTGTTGTCGATAAAAATAACGAATACTTTTTTTTGGAGATAAATCCGGTGGGTCAGTTTTCCATGGTTTCATACCCTTGCAATTACTATCTGGAGAAAGAGGTTGCGAAATTTTTAATCAATTAAACCTAAATTATGCTGTCGAAAGAACCGCTACACATTGATCCCTTACAGATGGAAAAGTGTCCCATATATTTCAGATATATATATTTTAATAAAATGATTCCGCTGGAAGTGGAAAGGAAGCTATTTCAACGTTCGCTAAAGAACGGCTCTGTACTGTATAGTAGGGAAAACTTAAACAGACCTATTTCAAAAATAATTAAGCTTTAATTAAGTTATGTCATCTTATATAGACTGCGATAGTTATTTTCTTGTTTTTGCAGATTGTATTCCAACCAGGGGAGCGAAAAACTCAACAATTTGCGATTTGACACGTACCACATTAGAAGTCTTTCCCAGTTCCTTTTATCCGTTTTTTGAGATTTTCAAAAAAAGCACTATTAAGGAAATATATATTGACCTCGAATTGGAAAGTCATATTGAATTCACAAAGTTCCTCGACTTTTTACTCGAAAAGGAATATGGAATGTTTGTGGATGATTTAGATTTATTTCCGGAATTAGAGAAAAGGTGGGAATCTCCTGAGCTAATTAATAATGCTATTGTTGACGTCCGCCTGCGAAAGCATGATTTTGGGGTCATATTTGATCAGTTGAATAGCTTGGGTTGCATTTATGTCCAGTTGAGGTGTTTTGAAAGCCTTTACACCATTCAGGAGTTGTCGGATGTGATTAAATTAGCTGAGAATAAATCCATACAAAGTATAGAATTAATCATTAAACACCATACTTCTTTTACAGATCAGGATTATGTTGATTTGTATAATGACCACGTTTTAATTTCTTCTCTTTTTGTGCATTCTGCGCCGGAGAATAAGGTTCTTATCGCAGATTTTGGGTATAAAGGCGAAGATCAGATCCTCAAACAAGAGATTCATAGAGAAATTCATTTTTATACTATGCCAGTTACGGGTGCAAGTCATTGTGGTATTATCGACGCTAAGTATTTTTCTATCGGTGACGTTCAAAGTTTTATGCACAATATTTCCTATAATAGTTGTTTGAATAAGAAAATTTCAATAGATGAAGAGGGTTTAATAAAGAACTGTCCGTCCATGACACATGATTTTGGATCTATTGACGATAATGTTTTGAGAGATGTTGTTGACGCTGAAAGTTTCAGACATGTTTGGGGGGTAAATAAGGATTTGATAAATGTCTGTCGGTCCTGTGAATTCAGAGCAGTATGTACCGATTGTCGTGCGTATATTGAGTCTCCTGATGACTTTTTATCCAAGCCATTAAAATGTGGTTATAATCCTAACGATGGTACCTGGACTGATTGGGCAGAGGGTAAGGAACATGCAATAGTGCATTATGGAATTGATATTTGATTTATTTGAATAGAATGGCATTAACTCCCCGCAAAATAATTTTATATATTTTTTTAGTTTCACCACTGATCTTATTATCTATGTCTGCACATGCTCAGGAACAAAAGAAAAATAGGTTTAAATGG